AACTCCTTGGAAACCCTATGCAGGGTCACTATAGGTTGAAACCAACTCGACAGCACTTAATAACAACAAGAACCTGGCCAACTAATTAGAAGAGATCCATATCTCTGCCCTTGCCAAAAACAGGTCCATATTTATGCCCTTGCCAAAACAACAAACAGATCTGTGTTGGAAGAAATGTAGCCAGAGTGCTCCTTGGAGGCCAGGATGGTCAAACTTCGTCTCTCATACTTTGAACATATTGTCAGGAGGGACCAGTTGCTGGAGAAGGATATCATGTTTGGTAGGGTGGAGAGGCAGAGAAAAAGAGGAAGACCCCAACGAGGTGGATTGGCCAGATGGCAGCATCGATGGAGTCAAGCGTGGCAACAATAGTGAGGTTGGCCCAGGATCGGGCAGTGTTTCGTTCTGCTGTGCATAGGGTCCCTATGAGTCGGTACTGACTCGATGGCACCTAACAACAACAACAAAGAGAGGTGACCCAATGTAATATGGAAATCATCAGACTATATCATTAATATTTCATGCAAGTGAAATAGTTCGACTGTGTGGATCATGACAAGCTATGGATAACATTGAAAAGAATGAATATTTCTGAACATTTGACTGTATTAATGAGGAACCTGTACATAGACCAAGAGGCAGTTGTTTGAATAGAACAAGGGGACACTGAATGGTTTAAAATCAGTAATTGTGTGCACCTGTACCCAGGTTGTATTCTTTCACCATATTTATTTAATGTCTATGATAAGCACATAATCTGAGAAGCTGGATTATATGAAGAAGAATGTTGTATCAGGATTAGAGGGAGACTCATTTACAACCTGCGTTATGTAGATTATACAACCTTGCTTGCTGAAAATGAAGAGGACTTAAATACTTACTGATGAAAATCAAAGAGTATGATTGTACCTCCGTGTAAGGAAAACAGAAATCCTCACAACTGGAACAATAAATAACATCATGTTAAATGGAAAAAAGATTGAAGTTGTCAGGGACTTCCTTTTACTTGGTTCTACAATCAACATTCATGGAAGCAGCAGTCAAGAAATCAAACGACATATCTCATTAGGGAAATCTGGTGCACAAAACCTCTTTAGAGTGTTCAAGAGGAAAGATGTCACCTGATCCAAGCAATGGTATTTTCAATAGCCTCATATGTATATGAAAGTTGAATAATAAATAAGGAAGACTGCAGAAGAATTGATACATTTGAACTATGGTGTTGTAGAAGAACATTAAAAGTACCATGGACTGCCAGAAGAACAAACAAATCTGTCTTGCAAGAAACACAGACAGAATGTTTCTTAGAAACCAGGATAACAAAACCTTATCTCTTATACCTCAGACATTATCAGGAGGGACCAGTCCCTGGAGAAAAACATTATAAGGCTCAGGGAAAAAGAGCAAGATCTCCAATGAGATGAATTAGCACAGCGGCAGCAGCAGTGGGCTCAAGCATAACAATAATTGTGAGGATGGCAGTGTTTTGTTATACTGTCCATAAATAAGTTCACTGCGACTGGGAGCCAACTCTATAGCACTTAACAACAACAAAATGTAATCATCCTCCATTTTGTGACCTGATGTGAGCAGCCAATTAATTGAAAGAGGAGTTTCCTTGGGGTGTAGCCTGTATTCAATGTTTGTGGACGTTTTGGCCAAGCTCAGCTTCTCAAGATCCTGTATCTAATACATTATCTTATGACCTACAGTTCTGTGTAAGCCAGCAGCCTGATGTCAATTCTGCTTATCTGGGGTTTGTAAGGAGCTCTGGTATTATAGTGGTTACAAGTCAGGCTGCCAACCTCAAGGTCAGCAGTTCAAAACGACCAGCTGTTCCGCGGGAGAAAGATGAGATTTTCTGCTCCCGTAAAGATTATAGCCTCGGAAGCCCTGTACAGGGTTGTTTATGAGTCGGAATCGACTCCACGGCACACCACGAAGGCCTTGTTATGTTTTTGTTGTTAAGGGCCGTTGAGTCAGTTCTGACAAATAGCAACTCTGCATAGAGTGTCTCGAGGCTTTCAGTCTTTGAGGGAGCAGAAAATCTCATCTTTCTCCTATGGAGCAGCTGGTGGGCTTGAACCACAGTCTTTGAGATTTACAGTCCAGTGCTTGTCGTATGGAGCCACCGTGCTCCCTTGTCAGCCCCTGTAGCCATGTTAAGCCCAGAGAAATCTCTAGTCTTATGCCCACCTCCACAATTGTGTGAGCCATTTCCTTGAAATAAACCTCTACATGCAAAGAACTCTTGTAGCACAATGGGTTACTCATTGGAATACTAACACAATGTCAGCAGTTCTAATCTACCTGCTGCTCCACAGGAGAAAGATAAGGCTTTCTGTTCTTGCAAAGACTGAAATCTTGGTGTGGCACAACAGGATAAGCACTGGACAGCATGGTCAGTTTAAACCACAAAGTCAGTGGTTCAAACCCATTAGCAGCTCCTTAGAAATCCTATATAGTTGCCAGAGCCAACTTGACCGCACTGAACAACAACATATACAAGGAAACTTCAAAATTTTGTTGAAAAATGGAACAAAAAGAATGGAATTTTCCCACCACCTTTCTGAAGCCCCTTCATGTATGTTGTTGTTGCTAAGCACCTTTGAGTCAGTGCCAACCCATAGCGATCCTGTATAGGGTTTCCAAGGAACGGCTGGTGAGCTTGAACTTCTGACCTTGTGGTTCAAACAGACCTTGGAGTCCAGCGCATTAACCCATAGACACCAGGACTCCTTTATATATGGTGGTAGTGTGCCGTGGAGTTGATTCCGACTCATAGAGACTTTGCATAGGTTTTCTGAGGCGGTAAATCTTTACAGAAGCTGAAACCCTTATCTTTCTCCCTTTGAAAAGGCTGGTAGTTTAGACCTGCTGACCTTGAGGTTAGCAGCCCAACTCGTAACCACTTCGCTGCCTTCATGTATAAGCTTCACTAATTTTACTCCTGTAGAAAATCCAACCTAATGCAACTATCTATGGTTCAGGCACTGTGGCACTGACCAAAGTCAGGAGAATGAATATGCATCATGAAGACACTGATGAGTATGAATTTATACATGTTGAGTTTATGGTGTCTATGGATTACCCAGGGGAAATGTCTACCAAGAAGAAAGGTCATGGTTAAAGATCTATTCATATGGGTAAAAAAATGTCTGTTGCTGTTGTTGTCGTTAAGTGTCACCGAGTCAGTTTCAACTCATAGCAATCTTGTATAGGGTTTCCGAGGAGCAGCTGTTGAGTTTGAACCTAGGTTCCTGTGATTCAAATTGACCTTTTGGTCCAGGGCATTATCCTGCTGTGCCACACCAGGACTCCAAGAAAGGAAGGCTAGCTCACAAAAGAAGAAAAGAAAGGAATGTCTTAATTGTTATGTACCATACCTGTAGTTATGATAGAGGTGAGGACTCAAACAACAAAGAGAAAAGAAGAGTAGTAGAAATAAGAGACTAGGAGAACTATTGTAGAGGTCCTGGAGATAAGATTTTTTAAGAGGTAACAGACTTCAACATTACAAAGCACAAACATATCAAAGTAGGTGAGATCAGAGGAAAAAGCATAGAATTTGACCTTTCAAGGAATTAATGGAGATAAAAAGACAAATGCAAATGACCATGGAAATAGCTGACAATGAGAACAAGTAACATGGTTCATGGAAAGGGCTTTTAGAACGTAAGCCAATGAAGATCGAAAAACTGGAAACAGAGAAAAGGAGCTAACTGATAGGAAAATGGCCTAGAGGAAGGCAGACAAGATGGAATCAAGGACTTGCACAATATCCAGGCACGTTATGTCTTCACTGTGAAGATTCTCATTAGCCTTGTTTGCAATGATTTCAGAGGACTGGAATTTAGTATTTCATATAAATGAGAGTGTTTCCTATTCACCGTCTTCTTAGGTCTCTTCTGGTTGGTATTGTTGAATAAGCACTGGACTGCCAGCTACAAGGTCGGTGGTTCAAACCCACCACCTGCCCCTGGAAACCCTGAAAAGGAACTTTGAGTCAAATTCTACTCAATGGCACTTAACAACAACAACATTCTTAGCCATACAACAATGAGGATACCTCTAATTCTCTGAAAATAATTCTCCACCACATTAGTTCATACCCTCCTGTGTCTAACTAAACAGGAGTACAGCCACTATATGTTGTGTAAAACAATCTCCTTCCCTATGAGTTATATAGAAAATAGCAAAGAGACAATATTTCGGAAGGAAGTGTATGCACGGGTTATGGAAGGGGCGGGGTAAGTATAAATTACTCCCTTTCTTTATAAAAGAGCCCATGGAAACTTCAGAAACAAAATAAAGATCCACTGGTCAAGTTAATTCAGTCTGCTTGGTTTTTTTCTATGCTCTGCTAAGGCTTCTACAACTGAATTTGCACCCTATATTGTCTCAACCTTGAACCCATTTATTTCCCTCTCATCCCCAAAGTGACTGATGTATTGATTTTGCTTGTTTGCTCTTGTTTCTTCATCACCAGGAAATGCAGAGCAAGAAATGTAGAAACACCTCACGGTACACAAGATACCCACACAAGTTTACAAGGACTCATAAAAGTCCCTCCCAGAGTACTGGTCTCCTAGCAGCTACCTAGAAAGCCCAGAGCACACTTACTGATTGCATGCCTTTCCCACGGCCCAGAGCAACAGCCTCTATGCCTCTCACAGCTACCCCTGGTAAAAGCCCTAGGAAGAGAGAACCCTATGTACTCCCCATTGGACTTGGGCTCGCCTATGCCGCCCAAATCTAGCTTCTTAAAAGCAAGAAGTCTTTCCCACCCTCCCGGAGGTCATGAAATGCTGTCACACCAAGCAAACGCAACGTATGCACACGTCCACACACAAACAGCACAAGCAGAACAGTCGGGTGTGGATTCTAGGCGCACAGCGCGCAACGCCTGCACAGCATGCACAACATGTACAAGCGCGCGCCCGGCCCTTGTCCATACCGGCGCACCCCAGGAGCCCAAGCCTAAGGCAGGCTAACCTCACCAGACAGCCTGGTAAGTTTCCAGGTGCACGGCTTGTCACCTCTCTGCGGCCGCCCGTGCGTCTCCACGTCCTCTCTCACGCCGTCCTCACCAGCCGCCTGCGGCGCCCAAGCTAAGCTCGGTCTGTTCCGCGAGCCGGGTGGTGCGCACCGTGCGCAACGCGGGCCCGGGGCTGCCGGCGCCGCCGCTCAGGCTACGTAGGAGCTAGGGGCGCGGGCGAGCGCGCTGCGGGCAGGAGCTGCCGTGGCGTAGGTTCTGCCGCTAGGATCCTCCGCGGGGGCCGTTGCAGAGGAGGAGCGCAGAGAGGGAGGAGAGAGAAAAGGAGGAGAAGGAGGAGGGAGGGGGTCAGCCGGGGCTATTGCGTGGAAGCAGGGAGCCCGGCTTCCCTAAAGGTGGGGTTACCCGCCCGCGCGCACCCGCACCAGCTCGCACCTTTACTCCCAAGACAAACCAACAACGACAGCCGCAGTCTTCACTTTATACCCCGTGCTTTCCAGAGTGAGGCAACTTAAGTAGGGAGATAACGTCGTGGTTGTAAGCATTTTTGAAATTGTTATTATTATTGCTATTTCAAGTGTGTGAGTCGAGGGAAGAGGAAAGTTCAGGGAGGTGTTCAGCGTTTCCTTCCCCTCCTTTTCCCCCCCACCCTTCTGTCTGTGTTCATTGCAAGCTCTCGCCATCTAGCCTTCCCTCCCAGAGCGCACACAGGCTCAAGTATCCTGGACAGGATCTCCTCTGTCACACCAATGCCCTTCTAGAAGACATGTAACCCCGGAGTAGTTCAGCGGCACGCGCTTCCCGGACTTTGGAGCCTTAACTTTTATCTAGTTTGCCAATTCACGTGGTAATAGGGGCAATAGTTGAACTGAGTTTCAAGGGACAGAGATTATACCTTCTGAGTATGTAAGTCTTTGGTCAGGGAGCTTTCTTGATCCCTCCAGGCAGGTAATGCTCTCCCAGTCGCCTTTTGATTGCATGTTTTTTTGTTTGGTTTTGTTTTTTCCTGAGGCTCACATTATGGTTTTCTAAATATATATATACCCACCTCATTATTTACTGTGCTCCGGTTTTTCGAGATCGTTTTGTGGCTTTTCCCTTTTCCTCCTGCCTCCAGAGGAATTTGACTGGCAAATCCGCCAAGGACAAGGGCAGTTTCTGTGCTGAGGAATGGAAAGTACAGTGGGGTCTATTCTTCACTGTGAATCCAGAGAATGTTGGATCTAACTCTCTTGGGTTTTAAACCACCTGGTGGCAGCGAGGCTCATGTAACTCTGGTATTATATACATAAACTTATATAGAATCGAGGCCCACGTAAAATCTGTTGAATGAGACCATTAAGTTTCAGAGGAGGAAGAATGTAGTCAAGTTTGTTTCTGTGCTAACTGAAAGAAAATAAACAAAAATACAAATTATTCTTCATGAACTTGTGCCAAAGTATGTACATTCTATGCAGGTCTCCCAATAGATACAGAGATAGATAAATGTTGAAGTAGATGAAATGAGAATGTGTAAAATACCATAGGAAAAAGAAAAGTAAGTCATTGCTAAATCACTGTAAACCAGTTGACTTTTAAGTCAATGCACTGGAATAATTAATGAAACAGACTAGTTTAACACCAAGACAAAATCAAAGATTTTTGAAGCCCTTCGGGCTGCGAACCATAAGGTCAGTAGTTCGAAACTACCAGCCGCTCCGCGGGAGAAAGATGAGGCTTTCTGCTCCCGTAAGGATTTACACCCTCGGAAACCCTGTACAGGGTCGCTATGGGTCGGCTCCGACTCGAAGGCACTTAACAACAACAAGTATCATGTAGGCCATTTTTTATTGAATTACGGGTTGCAAGTCCTGGTGTGGTGCCATAGGATAAGCACTCAACCTCAAGGTGGGTTTGAATCACAAGGTGGGTGGTTCAAATTTACTTGTCACTCCTCAGAAACCCTACACAGGGTCGCTATGAGTCAGAACGTACTCGAAGGCACTTAACAACAATTAAAAGTTATCAAACTGAAGTAGTGGGTCAAAGCAAGCATTATTTTAATGAAATAGACAAAATATAATTTTAAAATAGCAGAGTACATTATAAATTGCTGTGGTACCTTAAATTTACTGGATGTGGTTTTTCTATCCAATGTCTTTTTAACGCCCACCAAGTGATTGGGTGGGACCACGCAAGTAAGGTAGACAGGACTCTGTGGCCATACCACCTTGAATGTGCTGTATCTCATCTGATATCTGCAGCTAAACAGGGTAGGGTCTGGGTAGTACTTAGATGGAAGACCGCTGGAAATACTGGGTGCTGTAGGCTTTTAAGGACTCCTCATGTGGCACTGTAAGAGAAACACTGGACTGCACAGTGGTTCGAATCTACCAGGTGCTCCTCAGAAACCATGCACAGTGTTGCTATGAGTCATAATCAACTCAATGACACTTAACAACAACAACATGCCTGGGATTGGTTAGTTTTGAAAAGGAGCCATCTCAGAAGCAGAGTCAGAAGATCCCAGGACTATCAAAAAAGAAGAGAGCATGAGTGGAGTACGAGATCCCTACCTAGAAAATCAGCAATGGCAGAGGCAGCATGGAAAGACAGAGCAGCTTTGGGCTCTAGGCTCCATGGCTGAGAGGCCAAAGATGAGAGTGAGGCGTGCCTGCAATATGTCAGATAAGAGGTGTTACTGACTGGAGAATTGCTGCGTCCTGAATTAATGTTAATCCTGTTCACTTCCTAATAAACCCCATGTTGTTGTTGTTGTTGTTGTTGTTAATTGCAATTGAGCTGGTCCTGACTTATAGCCACCCTGTACAGGGTTTCCAAGGAGCAGCTGGTAGGTTTGAACTGCTGACCTTGTCATTCACAGTCTAGTGCCGATCTTACAGTGTCACACCAGGAGTCCGATAAACCCCATAATTATGTTTTGTGTGGCCATTATGGTGGATTATCGAACCCAGATCTGAAGCATCCCAGATCTATGGGAGGGATAGTTGGTGTCAGAATAGGGTAAAGAAGTTTTCATGGAAGCATATCTGACACCCACTTCATAGGAATCAGCCTTGGGCTGATTTTGAGTTTGATTCTCTTTCCCCCTTATGAAGCCAGGGGAAGTCAGACATGACCCCCATATGAATTTTTGCTATAGTAAAAGCATTTTATAAATCTTTTGCTACAGTGAAATATGCACATTGTGTGTATACTTGGCCAACTATGCAATTAATATGCATTTTCATACATAATATGAAAATGTATGGTAAAAGGTTGAATGCCCATGCTTACCCAACTAGTAAGAGTTTGAGTGGGAACTCAAGTCCCCACCCCCTTGGAACTTTCCACCCCTACCAGCAATCCTGTACTCTGTCAGTGCTAAATGCTGCATTGTGGGAAACCAGTAGGAGGAGGAAATTTTCCATTTTTCAATCTTTTATTCATTCTCTCAGCAAATATGCTTTGAGCAGCTCCTGTGTTCCAGACCCAGCACTAAAAACTAGAAATTCTATGATGAACAAAGTTAGCATGTGATCTCAGCTAACTTAGAATTTACAGTCCAGTAAAAGAAACAGACATTAAATGGGTAAACAAAAAAGTAACTATATGTATCGATGTGTGATAGGTTCTATGAAGGAAAATATGACAGAGCAAAAATGTGGTGTCATAATTTAGATGTGGAAGCTTGTAATTAATAATTATCCCAACTTAAAAAGTCTTAAATGATATAAGAATTATTGTTTCATATGAAAGCAGTCCCAAAGTCAGGAGACTCCAGTTTGTGAATGAACAGCTCAGTGATGTGAGAGAGGGCCAGGGCTATTTCTGTTATTTGTGCTCCACCACCCAACTTCCAGGTAGTACAAGCAGTCCTGACAATGCCTAATGGTAGCAAAGGTGTCTTTTTCAAGAGTGAATAAATCTTTCTCAGAAGCTTTCAGCAGACTTGTCATTAGTTAGAATACAGTCTCCTAAATTCTGAGAAAGGGCGGGTGGGGCGGGGATTACCAGGATTGGTGTAGGCTTTTCAGATTTTGTCCTAGAACTCTTTAGATAACGTTCTTTGAGGAATGGATAACTGAACTAACAGTGGAAATGGATATTGGGTAGGTAGGTAATCCAGAGTTGGCTATTGAGGGGTGAATTGTCTAGGGGGAGAAATTGTATTTAACCTTAAGAAAAGTAAGAGTTAGACAAGGATTGAGGAGGAAAACTTTCAGGCAGAGGGAGTTGTGGATGTGAAGTCACCCATTAAAGGCAATTTACATGCAATTTCTCATTTAGTATGTGAACTCTAGGAGATAAATGTACCTGAGAAAACAAGATTAAAGAAGTAAATAATGTGAGCTGGTCCACAGAGTTAATAAATTGCAGAGCCAATCTAATTCCACAGCCTAGAATATTGACCTCTTCTGTGTCTACAGAAAATCAAGAAGCCCAAATCCACTAGTCTTTTCCATTGTTAACCAAAGAGAACATTCCTCCTCCAAGCCCCTCTCCACTGTGACCCTGGTCTCACTGGTAGTTCAAGGCAAGTATTCATGAATAAACCTGCTCCCACTGGGTGCTCATCTGCTCCTGTGGGCTAGGGTTCCCATGATATCAAAACTGAGATACCTTGTGGAGAGATAAAGGGCAAAAGGTCCATCTTCCCTTTGTGTTACACACAGTTTGAAAAGTACCCAAGTAGCCCCAGGGTTTTATATAAACTTTGCAATTTTGTTTACAACTTTCTCTTTCTCATGGGGATCTGCATCTAAGGACCTAGACTGCCAAAGACTCCACTGATGCCCCCATGCTGAACTCTGAGTCACATATCCCTGGATGACCGAATTCTGGCTCACGTTCATCCTGTCTGAATGCTGTTCAGTTGATTCCAACCCATAGCAACCCTGTATAGGGTTTCCAAGGAGCAGGAGCAGCTGGTGAGCTTGAACCACCGACCTTGCTATTCAAACAACTTTACAGTCTGACACGTATTTCTTTATACTAATACTCACAGACTTTTGTCAGGTCAGACAGGACTGTTATACTGATCAAATGATAATGGAACACTCCCTAGCTCAAGCTGGACTCCCTTCTATGTATCACCAGAGGAAGAGCTCTTGAGGCCATGAGAGGGCAAAACTATCATCCATATCGTTCACACTGCAGCTTTTCTCTTTGTTATTTTACTCCCCTCCCTCCTTTATTCTCTC